CGTCTGAAAAATTGTCTTCAACACGCACCGATGCTACGGTGACAGTCGCGCACGACCTACCCAATCTACTGGACAGCAACTCTGTCGAGGTCCTCCCCGCCCGCCTCTGTCTTGCTTCGGGGCAACGCTTCTGACTGCTGTTGACAGAACGTAGCGTCGCGACTCCGCGAGATCGCTCTTACTCTTGCCCGGGGTCACCCATGCATCACTGTAGTGTCCCCAGCATGTAAAAAGACGCCGAGCGCATAAGACCCCGTGTACAGTTCACCAGCCTGTCACCTTTGTCGTCGGCTGTGAAAACTGCGTGGGCTGCAAGAGCCGTAGCACGTTATTATCCAGATAACAACATCCGAACAATACTGCAGTGGCGTCGTGTGCATGTGCCGTCGTACAACCACTCGAAATGCATCACACGGCCATCATAGACGTGGTACGTGTCGAGCATCGTAGCGGCGTCGAGGCAAACGGCAACGAGTCTCCATTCGCGTTGGCATTCCTACAGTCTCCGTTACAGCAGCTGGAAGCTGTCATCCACCCGGGAAACCAGATGCTGTCAAGTCTTGACTCAAGGTGTCAAGAGGCCGGTTTGTGCGCAGGTTACTTGATGGAGCTTGTGGATTGGATTCGCTGCCCCTGCCTTTTCGGTCGCTGCTGCCTGCTGTCAAGTTCGACGAGAGAGAGCCACTCGGCTGCTGTCCGCCGTGCCTTCTGGTCCGGAACCTCTTTCGTCCGCCCCCATGGCGAGCGTGGCGCAGTCTCTGCCTCATTATTCATTTGGTCGCCTCGGACTCACAGGAACCACCACCTCGACGATCATGTCAACGTTCTCAGCGATCCGATTGCCACACCTGTCGACGACCGAGTCGTTCCAGTTGCACCCGCAGCAATATCAGTTCGGTGGTATGCCGCACGCTGCCAACTACGCCAATCCGGCGCAGGAGCGCATGGCACTGCCTCCGCTCAATGTTCTGCCGTCGCGTGCGTACGCGCCGTCGGGCTTCGTACAGAAGCCAATGCCAGCTATGGTGGCTTCCCCGGCCGCGACACTATCGCATCAGCCAGTTCAGTCGCCGTCTAAGAAACGCGTTCGCGCGCTGCCCAACGCCTCCAAGTCCATCACGCTGGACATGCTTCGTCCGCACTTCGAGAAGCCTCTGGCCGAAGTGGCCAACATCTTCGGTATCTGCATGACGCTCATGAAGAAGATCTGCCGTAAAAACGGCGTGCCACGTTGGCCGCACCGTCAAATCCGTGGACTGCGTAAGAGCATCTGGTCCATCGAGAAGGCTCTGCGTTGCTGCGAGTCCGAGGCTCAGCGCCGCTCGTACAACGACCACCTGCAGAAGCAGCGAGCGAAGTTGCTCACGATCCTGAAGGGACCTGCCAGTCCGAACAGCAAGGCTGCGTTCGAACTCGTGCTGTCGGAGCCGTGCTCCCCGATGGGTGAGGTGGCAACTCCCACCGCGGCCGAGAAGACTCAGAGCCCGAGCTCCTCGGTTGCCAGCCCGGCGGCTCACTTCCAGATGCCGACGGTGTACCAGACCCAGGCGGTCAATGGGTCACCCAAGCTGCCGTCGATCGCGTCGCTCCTGATCAAGAACGAGGAGCAGCGCCCCAACTACAACTACCAGTTCTAAGTTGTTGTGCCTCTGTGTGAGTCCAAGTCAATGTCGTGCGCATGATCAAGACGGGGGATATGTGTTTCAGTGTAGTGAGTCGAGTTGCGTGCTTCAGTAGTGTAGCTTTGTGTTAGGTGGACTATAATGGAAGAGTCTATTATCTCAAACATTTCGCTCTGGTTTACTAAGATTTCTTTTTCAAAGATGTCACTAGGATAGCAAGTGAGACTCGCTGTGAATCTCTTCCTCTTTCAGAGGATTGGTGAAGAGAAGTGAATCGCAGCTCTTCGTAAACATTGTGGCTGTCCTCTCCACAAATACTAGTATGTAATACGTGCGTACTGGGCATGGCAACCAGACATTTCCTGTTGCGATTCTCACTACGCCCGGTTCTCATTGATTTCGAACCTATTTTCAAAATTCGAGGAACACGGTATTTTAAAATAGTACTGGTACCGAAATTATCATAATACTACTATTTTATTTTAATACATTAAGTTCCAGATAATTACTATGGTTAAATACGACGGTTGAAGTAGTCTAGGTTTACCAGCAAGATTTCTATGGTAACAGGCTTTGAGAGCCAAGCAGTTGCTGCTGATCATCATATATTTACAGGATCACCTCACTTACTATCGAGATCATCAGTGGGAATCACTGCCTGCTGGTGGTAGCCTGACAGTGAATGAACAACTGAAGAAGGATAGATCATGTTTTTATTAGTATACCTGAGGTTCACATCTTCCGTATCAGTCATGGTACATTTTATTGCTTTGGTTTATGCGTGTCTAAAAGGCCACGGTAATACTCCACCGTGACCCCTGTCTGCGAGTAGTTCATCAGGTTGTCCACAAGAAGCTCGAGGTGCAGGTTGGCCTGCAATAGATAGTGGGGTAAGAAGGCTTCGGTTGACATAGCAACCAGGACGAACGATGAACCCAATCCTAATCACCAGCGCCTTCCATCTCTAATTTTGTGCAGCAACAGTGGAGTCGGCCATTCGGCGTGCAGCCTCAACTGACGATGAGCTGTAGCAGCACGGCTGCGGAGCCGGCACCACAGGCACAGCGGTCTGTTCGTCGCAGTGGATAAGCTGTTGTTTCACGAGCGAGGGGCCAGTGGCATGGGCTCCTTCCTTCAGTACCACCAGTCCACGCGGCAAGTCCATGGATGGGTCCATTAGCTGCATGGATTCAAACACACGCGAGATCTTTACCCAGTGAGGCGGGTACTTGAACCTCGCAACATCCATCAGCAATACCATATCCCTCTCGGCATGGTATCCTCCAATAGGTGAGAAGTGGCCGTCTCCGGTCTGTCCGAGCACCTTGCGACTGTAGTTCAGCACTACGATCTCTGAGCTCGTAGAGCAGCTGTGCTTGACGATTTCCCTGAACTGTTCCAGCGTAAAGTCACTCGTAGCTCGGTAATCTTCTGTCAGTACGCCGTTGCAGCGTGCCAAACAAATGAATTCCGACATGCTGATACCTTTCTCCTTAGCCACACTAAGTGACGTGCAGCAGTCGAAGAGCTCTTCACTAAACCATCTCCACGGTCCTTTCCACAGTCTACCAGGGTCGATCTGAAGCGCGTTAAGACACATAGCCAATGTAGCCAAACCGCAGAACGCAGGTTCAGCCTGGGTGATGAACTGCTCTGCTAACGGGAAGTAGATTTGCATGTAGTTTGTGCTGCTGTTGATAGCCTCAGTGAAAAGTTTACGGCCTTCGGGGCTGGAGAAGGCGATGCAGTCCTGTGGCAAATGTCGGCGATGGAAACTGCTCTGTACTGCGCTGCTAGTGACTGTGGATCTGTTGACCATTGCGTGCATTTTGTCATGCTCCTTCTGCTGGTTATCCTGGTCTCTGCGTCGTCTTTCAGCCAGTTCCAGTGCTTCTTTCTCCTGTCGCTCCTTCTCGCGCTTTGTCTTGCAGCCACACTCCATATCCATCGGCAGATTGCACTCCTCAGTGTCCTCCTGACTCAAATTAACGCCTTGCGCTCGTTTGGGTAATTGAATTTTGCGGAACGGTTTGTGCAGCGGCGGAATGACACGGGTCGGGTTATTATTAACCCGTGGGTGGAAACGGATATATTCCTGAGCGGGTGGGCCGCGACTGTACAAGTGGGTATGTACTGAGCCCAGCAGGCCTGTGGGAGGCGGCGTGGACTTGGTTACAAGCACGGCGGTACTGTGGCGGTGGTGCGGTGCGCGGGCTTGAGCCTTGGCAGCGACGGCAGCGGCGCTAGGCAGCTGCTTGTCCTCTCGCAGGAATAGTTTCCAATGGGTCGTAGGCGCGAAGCGCGTGGGTAGTTCGCGGGTTCGTGGCCACATTTTGTCGATCGGTTAGGCTCAAAATATACTCTGTTAATATGTCAGATGTGAGGTCGCAGTGCTGCTTTTAGTACGGACGTTGAATCTGTAGATGCAGTGCCTGAGGACGTGAGGGTTCTCGTGGCCAAGACCACAAATAGCAGAATGCCGAGAAGCGATCTGTGTCGGATTGCTCTAAGCGCGATTGACAGGCAGGTGGTCGGTGGCGGAGGCAACACGCACAGAAGAAGAGAGTGTCGATGGTAACCCAAAAATATGCCCAAATGTCTTCATATGGGTACCTCCCTTCGACACCAATACTCATTTAGGCCAATCGACGAGCTGTATTTGTCATCTGGACCATATCATTCGTCGATAATCGCAGTCAAAATAGGTTTTATTATGTACCCATATTGTTTTGAGTCCGTATTATGGATCATTCGCCGGCTCTGCATGTATACATGCTGTCGTTCGCAGCAGATGTCATGCTGGTCGGCGATTCTGACTGGACGATTCAAGTGCGGCATGGGCCAATCGAAAGCGGCGATTACCCAAAGGCACGCGCCAATTGCGCACATTGGCCAGCGGGGTGCCGTGGAGCGCGGCAAGACACGCTTCGGCTCAAGCGACCACGTGAGCCTGCGGCACGCTTCCTTTGGTCAGAGAGCAGACATGCTCAAGTGGATCTTGCGCTCTGCTCAGCGATACACTGTATCCGCCGTCGGCAATGATCATGATCTGGCGCCAAGCAGAGGATCGTCATCCAAATATAGTGTGTGGCGCACATAACTCAACTTCAACTTGCTGTTTGGTCAAACAGACTCATTTCCGATTCGACCCCGCGGACCACAAGCAGAGTAGTGGTGAGTGCTCCGACGGTCGGCGCCAGAACGGCGAGCAAGTACGTAACTGTACACACTTGGGATGCATGACGTTATTGGCACAGGCAATGCACGTTTCACGAGGTGGTGGCTCGCTCAATGAAATTTATCGCTGTGCTGGAGTTGCTGGCTTCTGTTGTACGAAATGTGTGAACCTATTGCTTTATTATCGCGATGGAAGCCACAGCAAATGATTCAAGCGTAGCTCCCAATTTATTTTTATGTAATTGGGATTCGTAAACTCGGTGCTGGAGTGAAATGCCCGGTGAATTGATCCAATCAATCCGTAATCAGCAGCGTATTTACTGCTAGAGCAAGAACGCTGGTCTACGTTCATCCTTGTGGCTGGATCGAAAGCTCGCTGTTTGCTACGGATGGGCGTAGCATAGCACGAAAAATGGCGGAAATTGTATGGGAATGATTTCGAGCAGACTTCGTCAGGTGTTTGTCGTACAAGATCGTACTAGACGCGAGGATACATGGTTGGAATACGCTGTCATTATCTATAGAAGCGTTCAATCAGCTTATGTATCATATTTGCTCTCCTTATGGCTTTAATCTTGATCATCTAAATGGAGAATATCGGTCTTGATGATCAATTCTGGCAGCGGTATCTCCAGATATTCCACTGTGTGGATACGGCATTTCTTTAGGAGACCGTGGTCTTCAAGACATTTCACTGAGTTTTTCATAGCCAACGGGGTCGCATGCAGCAGCTTCTTGCGGCAAGCCTCATACACTGCCTGGTACGGGGCGAGCTTCGTGTCTTTGAGCTTCCGGCCACGGCTTTTGGATGAATCGGAATCTGCGAGCTGTTGACGCGCGAGTTCTTGCAGCGTGGCCACATCAGTTGGCGTCAGACTTTGGAGAATAAACTTGACTCCATTGCTGGTAGCATCCGTCGACTTCGTCTGTCTCGACAGCCTCAACTCAATCTCGTTCGTGTACGGCAGGTATGTGTCAAGATTCTGGCTAAGCCACTCGAACCGAAGCGAGTCTTCCTCTTTCCAAATAGACGGACCATTAATGTGATCCATCGAAGCAATGAGACCAATAAATGGAGCCTTCGCAAGCCAACTCAAGCACGTCTGAGCTTCTGGATTTCGAAGCGCCAGGCCATCGATGGAGTGCACCAGAAGATAAACTGGAGGGACATGACGTGACGGCTTAGCCTTGGCAATGTCCCGGCACTATATAAACACACAATTGTAAAATACTTAGCCACGCTCTAATGCGGAACAGTATTTTGTGTCTTTTACCTGTTGCGAGAGCGCTTCGTTCGGCTTCACGCCCGCATTTAAGACCTGATCACCAGCGTTAGTATAGCACAAATACGTATTTTAGAGTAGACACTCGCTCACCTTCTCTTGAATAGTTTCCACCAGATACTTAAGTGAAACAACAGGCAGATACCCATGTACTTGCATCACAATACCATCGCTCAAATAGGTAGATGCAAAGTCCTAAATCACAATAACAAGTGAGTATTTCCAATCTTTATCTCGATACAATACATTGCCACTCACTTGTAAAAGTGTCAGCTTGGAGCCCACTCCATAGAAGAGCAGGTTGTAGCCTGCGAGCAGCTCGCTCTTCCAACCCGGGAAGTGCTGTCCAAAGCGTCGACTCTGCGGCTTCACGTGCTCGTCCACCGCTTTCAGCTCCGCCAGCAGCTGGCCACGAGACGGTAATTCCAGTCCAGAGCTCTGTTGTTTTTCCTCTTCTTCGTCGTTTTCTGCTTGTCGTTTCTTTTGCTGCTTTTCAGACCGTCGCTGGGCTGCAGCTGTGGCCTGTCGCTCTTTCAGAGGCGGTGGCTTGGCTTTGCGGGGCACACGCTGCCGGATCCGCTTGGACGTGAAGTAGGCGTTGGCGGAGGACGCGCCCAGCTCCACGCTGTTGCTCGGTTCCGTCCGCCGCAGCTTCCAGCGAGCGCGGAGGCCATCGGAGCTCATTCGTATTTCCAGATGTCACTACGACACCGCGTAGTAGTGACATTTTTTTTTTACCACAAAATGGTCCGCTAATGAAGAATATGTAGCTTACATGTCCGAGTGACCTCCTCTGCTTGTAAGACCATAATGCACATTCGCAGATCTTTCGTCTTCATGAGGTAGAAAAGCAGACGATCAGCAAGCGCCGAGCATATAGTACGAGAATACTTCAGTTTAGCTTGATTGTCTTGACGATAGCAACAAGTGAAAAACTTAAGCATGGAGTCCAATATTCAATTGATTTGGTTTAGTAAGGATCAGCGAAGCACGTTGAGAGCAATGTTGCTTAGGTGTTTTAGACTGCTATCTGGTCGACCAAGGAAGCGTCGGGAGGGTGATATTGATGGCTCGGGTCAGTCAGTGGCCTCGTCACCCATGAGGCCACTAGTGACGAGTTGTCACCATTGGTTCCTAAACACCCGAGTCGCGTGTCTGCATCGCTGCTTATCACGATAACGTTAGATCCGTTATTTCGCCTCAATACAACGGCTTCATCTTGACGAACTTGAAGTTGCTTGACGTGCACCACATCACGCCGTTTTAAGCGCCTTGCACGCCGTCACTTTGCGTGCTTCAGAGCTCAATTCTTCTCCACGATGTCCATACATCGCCACGTTGTCAGCGATCATTTTGACGACAATAAACGTAATCGATCACTAAACAGCAACTTAGCGTGTTGGGTTGTGTACACAAACGCTACACAAACCCACCTTGTGATTCGTCTCTGCGTAGTCAGCGTAGTCAGTATCCTATCAGCCACGAACGGAAGACATAATGGAGTGTCCATGCACGACTAAAGCACACTCAGAGGAAGCGCTGAAAGCAACCCAACAAGACCAGCAGCAACAGGCCGACAATCCACAGACAGCCGGCACACCTCCGTCCATTATGAAGCTCCAGAACAGCTTCCATCGCCGCAGTCTGCCTCCGAGCTGCATCGCCTTCTCCAGTCCGGAAGGTCGTACGCTCTTCACTGAAGCCATCAACAGCAGCACAAACTACATGCAAATCTACTTCCCGTTGGCTGAGCAGTTCACCACGCAGGCTGAACCCGCGTACTGCGGCTTGTCCACCTTGGCTATGTGTCTTAACGCGCTTCAGATCGACCCTGGTAGACTGTGGAAAGGACCGTGGAGATGGTTTAGTGAAGAACTCTTCGACTGCTGCACGTCTCTTAGTGTGGCTAAGGAGAGAGGCATCAGTATGACGGAATTCATTTGTTTGGCACGCTGCAACGGCGTACTGACAGAGGATTACCGAGCTACGAGTGACTTTACGCTGAAACAGTTCAGGGAAATCGTCAAGCACAGCTGCTCTACGAGCTCAGAGATCGTAGTGCTGAACTACAGTCGCAAGGTGCTCGGACAGACCGGAGACGGCCACTTCTCACCTATTGGAGGATACCATGCCGAGAGGGATATGGTATTGCTGATGGATGTTGCGAGGTTCAAGTACCCACCTCATTGGGTCAAGCTCTCGCGCGTGTTCGAAGCTATGAGATTAGTGGTCAAGGCGATGAACAAGCCGCGTGGTCTAGTGATTCTTAAAGCAGCACCTGCAGCTGAACACTTCCACCTTGGAGAACAAATGGGGGCACCTGTGGCGCCGGCTCCACAGCCGTGTTGCTACAGCATGTCAGCCGTACAGGCGGCACGACGAAAGACGGATCACACTGCTACGATGCAGCATTAAAATTCGACGGACGACTGGGACCCTCGACAGTCCTGGTTAAGGTCGACTCCAACTTTCCACCCCTTAATTATTGCAGGCCAACCTGCTTACCCTCAAAGTTACAGGGTCCTTGTGTGGATTTTCAGATCCACAAATGCGATGACCCAGGTGAAATATCGTACATGGTACGTCGACTCGCACAAAGTTCATTTATGAAGTTTGAGTAGTTTTTTTTTGTCAAGTTGCTTTCGAGTAAATTTACTCTACTATAACAGAATTTCTTAGCGTGATCAGTAAAAAAGATAACAATTGAGTGAAGATCCCACACTTAAGTCCGATGTGCAATTTCAAAGCTCGAAGTGAATAACTTTTCAGTATCGCATGCCTTTAGTAAAATAGTGGAAAGCAAGCAGAACGAATTGCTGGGGTGATGGAAAAAAAAAAGAGTTACAAAGGCTAAAATGTTGATACGCTGCAGTTTCCAGCGTAACGAAGTAATCTCGTATAGAGAAAATGAGCAACAACATGGCATTGCGAAGTTGCTCCTCCAAGGTGAACCCTGGCGTCAGGAGCGAATACTGAAGATCGACTAAAGAGTTTTGCAGTACCGAGTTGAAGCATCTTCTTGCACCGAAATGAGAGAGAGCGCAAACGACTGGCGAACTACAACGCTGCACCTCTAAACACGCCGCAGTTCACGACAGCCTTTCCACTTTTGCCTTGGTATTCGTCTGCAAAAAAAAAAAAAAAAAAAACTCAAGATTATCAGTTTGTTGCTATCTATTCTCAACTTTTATATGTACATGACCTTACTACTGCAACATGAAGCACAAGTTAGAGCGCGAAACTCTGTCCTTGTTCCTTCTCCGCAGTTTCATGGATCTGGCACAAAAGACCTCGTCGAACTGCTCGTGAGCAACCAGGGTGCTCGCACCTTTTGCCACCTCCGTGCGAAATGCAAAAGCCGTTGCCACGATCTTTCTTTTCACAGTTGCCAAACTGGCATTTGCGAATACCGCCATGGACGTAGCAACGGCCTTTGCGTTGTTGTCCGCGTGTGCAGCCCGGGAACTCACAGCGCTTACCGCCTCCATGAGCCCGGCAGAAGCCGCCACCCTGAGAGCTACGGTTGCAACCGCCAGGCCCCGAGTATTGACACCGTGCTCCACCTCCGTGGGCTTTGCAGCGACTGTTAGACTGGGCACGTCTAGTGCAACCAGCCTCAATACATTTCTTGCCTTTGGTAATTTTGACATTAGCCTTGGTACTTGAATTTTCCTGACCCACAGGTGAAGCTGACGTGGTTCGTGCAGCTTTAGCTCTAGGTTGACTGCCAGAGTCAGTTCGAACTCGCTTTGGTCGAGACATCATCGGTGGCGTAGCGAAATCCGCCGATACGATGAGCTCTTTCAATGCCTTGTTGGTTAACGAAGCAGGAGGCGAGATGGTTAGCGAGAACGGAGGTCGCTCCACTGATGTTTTAAAGGCATCGAGAGCTTTGCGTTCCTCAGGTTGTGAAGTTTCAGACTGATTGTTCCTCAATGTAGAGATCCACAGTCCGGGATGTGGGATGCGAACATCTTCTCTGGAAGTTGTGACCGAAAGAGCACCAATCCTTTTCGATCAGCTGAGCGAAGCCTTCTAACGTACGATAGT